ACACTTCGTAGAGGAGCAAGTTGTGCTAAAGGAAAAGCAAAACTATGGTTAAGCAGGAGGAAGATTTCTGTGTGATTCTGCCTGGAAAGAGCATGAGCAAGAACAAACACCCAGAAGAAACACCAAGGCCAGGCACTCAGGGTTTTTGTCATGGAAGTAATCACTGTGGGGACACAGGAGGCAGGCAGCTTGTTTTTGGAATGGGCACGAGACTTTCTGTGATTGCAAGTAAGTGTTCCCTAGTTCTGATCACCAGTGTCTGCTTCCCTTAAATGATTTTGCATTATACCCAGGAATGCTTTTCCCCCCAGGAAAGGTATGGGCTGGGTTGTTAGTGTTGAACAGGGAGATACGCAGAGTATTCTGTTACAGTTTTAAAAGGTCTACCAGACAATCACAGGCAAGCACAGAGCTGGGCCCTGCACGGCACCCTGGCCTCAGCACCTCCAGCTTATTCTGAACACACATCTTGGCCCAATTCCACCCTTTGACCTCAGGAGACCAAAGCCCTAGCACAAAGAACCTGAGACTCTTTAGCTGAGGAGGGGGTGGGTGGGGGCACAGAAAGTCTTGTCTGAGAGTGGAGAGTCATTTTTAAATACTCATATATTGTGGGGTTCTATAAACATTTCTCATTGCAAACTATTCCAGTTACAGACAAAGTCAGTAGTCACCTTGACCCCTCCCTTCAATATCGATTTCCTCCCCCAAAGGGACTAATGAGCCTGGTTTGGTGTATTGTGATGAGTTTCTCTGAGGATAAGTTGACATGAAATCCCATCTTCAAGGAAGGAAACTCAAGAGATACAGAGTTCAGACTACTGTCTGTGGGGTTTCATTGAGAAATAAGGAATAGTGCTGGAGGCAAAGGAGAGCTCTTAAAACCTTGGCAGATCTTTGGTCAGAATAGCCCTTGGCTGAAGGCAGGAGGTTGAACCAGATGCAAGTCCAGCCAGGTCTCTGCAGGTCTGTAAGGGATGGTGCATTCCATGGCGAGCCCCAAAATACCTTTCTCTTTTGCCTGTTGTCTGTTGTTTCAGTCTGAGCTTTCAGCAGAGTCGCTCCTGTGCTGTGATTGGTTTGACTTTCTCAGGGTTTTTGCAAAGAAAGGAAACTGTGTGTACTCTGGGGTTGCGGGTAACCAGCTCACTTTTGGAAAGGGCACCAAACTCTCGGTCACACCAAGTAAGTTCTTTTCTGGCTAATTATTCTTCCCAAGAAGCCCATCTTCCATCATGCAGAAGCTGTCAAAACACAGGTGGTGTTTTCTTTGCTTGGTTTGTGTTGGGTGGTTCGTGATACCAGTCGGAAAACAAGGTTATTAATGCACGTAGTCCCTGGGGCGTTGTACTTGAGCTTTTCATATCTATGGAGTTTCTCCCTGAAAAAATACGTGAGCCCTACAAGGAGGAAGGCACAGGGAGTGGAGCTGGGAAAGGCAGGAACTGGATGAAAATAGACAAAGGGCCTGCAGGAACAACAAACAAGACGGGATCCCAGGAGACAAAGCAGTAGCCACTTGCAGTGAATTTCCCAGGAGGCGCTCCTGCCAAAGCCTATTCTTTCAAGGAAAATTACGGTAAATAGAATTGGGATGGGAAGTTGCTAGTTATTAGCATTCCTCCCACGTTCTAACCTAATTACAAGGAGATTGTTTTGGCCATGGGCAGTCATTTCAGGTTTTGTTTTCCTGCTGACCCTCAGCCCCCAGCCCTCTGCTGCCACCTCCACCTGTCTTCCTAGAGGCCCCTGTCAAGGTTATTGCAATAGCACTGAGCACTGTGTAACACCAACACAGGCAAATTAACCTTTGGGGATGGGACCACACTCACCGTGAAGCCAAGTAAGTTGTGTGCTTCTTTGCCTGGGCCTTCAGGGATAATCAATCAAATCATTAGCTTGAAAAATACTTTAATCCTGCGCATCTGCTTGGGCTCTTTATTAATGTTCTTTCTCCAGGCCAAAGAGAGCTAGTTCTCTTCCGGCTTTAACCTGAGACGTGAGTGCATGGATACGCACACGTGCACGCACACACGCTTGCTGTAGCTCTCCAGGAGCGGCCCACAGGAAAGAAGGGGAAATTCAAACAATAGTTGGGCTGGTGAGGATCTCAGGACGGGCCTCCAGAGGACCCAGCCCTCACAGTGTTCCCAGCAGGCTGTCTGTCCAGATGGGCTGTGCTCTGCATCTGGTGATCTAGGGTGGGAAACTCCTCAGTTTCTCTCAATTCCAAAAGTAAGTAGCCCTGCTGCCAGGAGTGCTTTCTCACATCTAACCTTGATGCCTCTGCTGCAATTTCCATCTCAATTTGAAAAGAACCCCTAGATCCCTTGGTATCTAGATTGGGAATAAAACAGCCCCTATAAAATGGGACACTCAAAACTGATGCCTCGGCTGCAGTCACTCTGAGATGCATGGATCCCCTCTAGACATTTGGAGCCGACATCATTATGGATTGGGCACTATAGCATGAGCTTGGAAGACAGAAAACCCTGAATTCCTGTCCTTGCTCCAAGGACTGAAGTAGCTGTGTGATGTTGGGCCAGTTTCCTACCCTCACTGAATCTCAATTTCCCCATCCATAAAATGAAGGCAAAAATACACCTAGCTTGTTGAGTTACTGTAAGCACGAAATGAAATGATATAGCGAAAGTACTTAGTGTGGGGCTCAGAGCATAGAAGTAGCTCATTCAACCCCAGCTATTAGAGATGCTGATCAACAGCATCTCCCATGCACAGCACAGCTTTTGTTCCTCCTGCTCTTCTGTCAGGAGCAGGGCCGGAATGAGGGGCGGGTGCAGAATGCCAGTCTGTTTTATGAGATTCTTCACCTGGGATTTAGAATCCTCATTTAAATACAAAACCATCCAAGTGTCAAAGGCAGGGGAGAGGTTTTGGCAGACAGCTGCCTGGCTGGGGCTCCGGGCGCTACACACGAACCCTTGGAGCAAGGAAGCAGCTCACAGGACTCCCCCCTCAAGCCAGCCCCAGCATGACTTCCTCCTAAGTGTGCTGAGCCCCTGCCCAGAGACAGCGGCCCCCTCTCCCCTTGGCGGGGCGGTGGTAGAGAGGATAGGGAAGGGAAAGCTGTCCCAAAATTGTCCTTCCACTCCTCTGGGAAGTCAAGTTCAGGAGAGATTGGCTCTTGGAAACAGGCAGTCAATGAAACTCTCAGACCTGGAGATGAGAATCCGTGAGGGCTACGGAGGCAAAGCGGGGCAGTTTATTTCACAGAAAAGAGGCTGAGGGTGAGGTGGGAACTGAATCACATTTCTGAGTCTGGGGGAGGAAGCCTTCCACAGAAGCTAGGTTCTCCACCAGGATGCGGCCCCCAGGATGAGGTTAGCACTGCCAGAGGAAGGGAGTCGGATTCGTGGTAAAACCTTCCTAATAGGTTTTTGAACAGTGAAAATGAGCTGTCAGGAGTCGTTGCCAGCACGCACTTTCTCCAGGGGGTTTTTGAAAGGAGATAGACACCCTCCTATCAGGACTGAGTGAAGAGCAGCCCTGCCTCGAGGCGGGAAGAGAAATGAGAGAGCCTCTGTAAGCCTCGTCCCAGCCCGCCAGCCTCTCTCTGTGAACAGACACGCGCTCATTAATGCAGAGCTGCTGCCTTCGGGACACAAGGGGTTGCCGAGTTGAGTTCTGGAAGTTTTGCTTGCCTGGTTCCCAAATTCCCTTTGTTCTCGGGACTTGATGGGACCCATGGGCTGGCTTTTTCACACAAAAGCTAAAAACACAGGTTCTGGGGTCCTGAGTGTTGAGATGCCCTGGCATGTGGGGAGGAAGCTCTGGGGGTTTTTGCTGAGCCCAGAATCACTGTGGGAATATATGCCCAGAATCTGATCTTCGGTCCCGGAACCACCTTGTCTGTCCTGCCCTGTAAGTACAGCTGAGTGGGGTGGGGAAATGAGTCCAGCTGTCAGCTTGGGAATGCGCTGGGGTGGGGGGCCAAGGATGGGAGCATGAAGCTGGGAGCCCACTGTGACCCCAGGAGCGGTGATGAAGAGGGACATAGAAAAGGAGAGAAGGACAGAAAAATGAGGAGTTTGTTATTCTGGAGCATTGCTTATTCCGGAAGGAAAATCATAGGCCCGAGAGCATCATACCAGGAGGTGCACCAGAGCTCGCTGCACTGGGGGCCTTTGTGGGGAAGCTGGGCTGCCAGGTTTTTGATGCTGAGATGATCACTGTGCAAAGGACAAGCCTTCTCCTCTATCTTTGGGAAGGGGACAAGGCTGCTTGTCAAACCGAGTAAGTGGCATAGACTTTGAACTGTGGGCTGAATATGATTATCCGTGAGAAGAAACTGCTCTTCTCCATACAGGCCCCCTTAGATCAGGACATTGAAAGGGTTGAGCAGATCGGAGCTCACTACCTGGTCACCTGCTCCCCACTAGGGCCCCACTGATAACCCAGCTTTGGGATCTGTCCCCTTTATCAGACTTCCAATAAGGAAAACCATCCAATAGCAAAGTTTTCCCCAGAAGAAACGACCAACAGTTATCCCCATTTTACAGATTTTAAAACTGAGGCAAATTGAAGCTAATGGTGAATACTGTGTCAATCAAAACAGACCATGAGGATCTTGAAATGGTTTTTCCACTAGATTTGTGAGTCCCAAACTCCAGGTTATTTCAAGGAGAAGGTAACGGTTGTAAGCAGCCCTGGTTGGAGCTCCAGTGGTCTGAGGAGTGGGTTTAAGACCAGGGAAATGCCCAGATGGGTGGGCTTCCATCCCTGCAGAGTCTCAAGCCAGCGCCCAGGCTTCATCGCACTCTGTCCTGCGCCCAGGGAGTGCAGCTCTTGGCACCCATCATCCTCAGGGTCTGGAAGGGAGAGAGATTAGAGGAGAAGGGGGAAAAGCTTATATCTCTTATCATGCAGTTACCTCATTCTGTAGCAAGATTGTTTCCCCATGAGCAGTTTGTCTTCATTTAGCAGCTGTCTTCTCTGGGGAAGCCATTTTGTAGAGGTGTTTGTCAAAGTGTGACAACTGATGGCTGGGCGAAAATGCATTTTGGAGCAGGGACCCAGGTTGTGGTCACTCCAGGTAAGCCTGGCTCCCTGGAGCCTGCGCGCCTTTAATCGTAACCTGTGTATACCCAGTGTATCTGGTTGAGACTATGAGCAATGCCTTGGAAAGGAAAACATTTCCTGAATGGTAATACCCGGAGCCATTAAGCACAAAGTGAGAGATCAGTTTGGTGTTAAAGAGAAGTGATTTAGGATAAATGGGAATTCTCACTATTCTTTCTCATTCCCTTATAAGGAGAAGAGTTACAAGGAGAAGTATAGAACTGATTCACGCTGTGGTGTGGGAGAGATCTCCTGCGGATTTGGGGCTGGAGGATTAGAAATGTGTTCGGGGAGATTGGATGTGTTTTTGACAGGATACGAAGCACAGTGTGAGTTATAACCAGGGAGAAAAGCTTATCTTCGGACAGGGAACCAAGTTATCAGTGGAGCCCAGTAAGTATAAAATTGTATCCCTGGATTAAGCAATGTCTGTGGATTAAGGGCTGATTCAGACACAATTATAGACTATATAAAGAATGTTTAGAGCAGTAGAATGAGCATCAAATAAGGGGCCAAAAGTCTAGCTGGCTAGGATCTGGCACCTTAGTGCCAAAGAGGCTGCGTAGGGGTGTCCCTGAGAAATGTTCCCAGAAGATGTGTGTTTGGGACTGAAGAGGTGTGACTGATTACTTGGAGTACTGGCTGGGAATGCCACCTACATTTGTGCAGTCATCAGTGACAACATTTCTAATTTCTTAACAAGCCCTCTAAGGCACTATTCTCTGGCTATAATTATGTCAACTTAGAGAAGGAACCTTGTAAATACTAATCATTGATCAAAACAAGTGCAATTATTTTGTCTCTCTCAAAGTCTAAGAATCACTTCTTAAAAATTAACTTATTCAGAGCACTGAGAGGCACTTCCTGTGTCCCAGACTTGGCCAAAAGTTCATAGAGCACAGCCTCATGGAGCAGAGAGAACCTTTAAAGTTGTCCTATCTCTGTGTATGAGGGAAGAGACTGATCACGACTCCACAACTGACATGTGGCTAAGCCTGCACTAGACCTTGAGTCTCCCAGGTTTTCCAATTTGTCTCTGGTCTCGATTATAAGAATTCAAACTTCAAATGAGATTCATCCAACAAATAAGAACGCGCCTGCCATGCTCCAGGTTCAGTGTTCAGACCAAGGCTCCCACAGGAAGGAGAGGTGACATGCTCCTGGCGGTGACTCCCATTGCTCCTCCCAGATGGGACAATGCACACCTTGTTCCCTCTTTGGTCATGGCCCTTTTATACACCCTCACCACCTTAGGAAATGTTCAGATGGATTTTTGTTGCAGTTTTAATGTCCTTTAGCACATTAGCCTACACAGATACCACTTTAGTCACGGATGTAACCCAAAAGTGAAGTGGAAAACCAGAAATTTCCCAGATAATTTGATCATTGTAAATAATTTGATCAAAGTGCAACTAGTTACCAAATCAACTGGATAGTCCTCAACTACGTCATTTAGATTCTCTAGACCCAGCCTAAGGAAGACTGGAGGATTTAAGCAGTTGCATCACGGTGCGACCCCGGGGTATGCACAGTGGAGGAGAAATAGTCTCTGTTTTGTACTTTGTAAGACTGCTGAGATGAAAAGATCCGAATACTGGCTTGACATCTAAAATCAGAGGGTCCTTAGTCCACATGCATAGTTAAAGCATAAGGTTTATACTTACAACTCTGTGGTAGAAAGTGGAATGCAAAGATCCCCTAAAAGAAAATGGGATTATAAGACAAAGAAGGATATTTAAGGATTTGTAGGCAATTTGGTCACTCCAGATCAAACCTAGAGTGACAATGATACAGGCCTAGTTCATAAAGTAACTGCCAACTCCCTCCTCTGCTCAGCCCACCTGGCCTCATTGATCTGGTTTTTGTTGTCGGGCATATCACAGTGTTTCTTCTGGTTCAGGCTGGCAACTGACCTTTGGATCTGGAACCCAACTGTCTGTTGTACCTGGTAGGCCGGCACAACTAAATACTATTTACACTGATTGATTAACCTATAAATGTATGCTGTGCGTATATGTAACTTTATGAGTCTGAGGTTGAGGGTTGAGGGACAGACACCAACAAGGCAAAAGGGTACAGTGAGAAAAGAATTACCTATCAAAGACCAAACAGAGAAAGAGAAGCCTTCCTGTTAAGTCTGAATAAGAGTTCAGTGAACAGAGTAGAGATGAAGGCATCCTAACCTAGAAGAGTTGCTGAGTAGCGGGAACAGATTCTATGATGGCAGCCCGTTTCTTGTGTCACGACCAGACCACATGCTAGAGGATGGTTTTACAAAGAACCATTTAAACCAAGCGTAGTTGGTCAGCCATATTTCTGGCCTATTCTAGCTTATTTCTACATAAGTCTTTAAAAGTAAAGGTGTCTGCTTAAGATAATTTGCATGAGGCTCTATTTCCATAGCTCTCTGGTGTCCTTCCAGCAAAGAATTCCTGTAGCACAACTGCTTATCACTTCTTCAAGTCAGAACAAGTGAGAGCCCCCTTGCCCTCCAAAACTGCATAAGTATTATAATTGCTTGCCTTAGACTGAAGTCACCTCTATTTTATTTCTCCTAACTATGTTCATTTGTTGAGATCTGTTTAAATCCAAACTGTGTGGGTGTCTCACTGTTGGCACTGAGGTTTCCTTTCTCTTGAAATTGTCAGCAAAATATTTTGCCCATAAATAATGTTTCATCTAGACTTGCAAATGACAGCCAAAACTGCAGCCTTTTTTTCATTTTATCTTATTACTGTTTTTCATTTTTTTTTCCTTGAAGGAACTATGAAAAACGCCAGAATGCACAGTTTTGTAGTTTTGTTGGCAATGTGGTTGTTAAAGTACATTTGATTGTATAACGTAGGTTCTTTGACAGATAGGATGAAGTATTAGGTCAGACACAGGGAATACAGCAGATCGGCTGGCATGGCTCAGGATGCCCTTAAGGGAGCTTGGGTCTAGTTGTCAAGCACAACCAGATCCAGGTAGAGGGTTCAGAAAAGAAGCTTCCAGATAGCCCTAGAACTAAAAGAAGAATATAGTCCATCGAAGGGGCATTTTCATTTATAATTAGGGAAAGAAAAAGGTAAAGAGCATTTACTTGCAGCATCCTTGTTTCAAATATTGTGTGCTTGTAGCACAGAGGACACAAGAAAGAACCCGAGCAGAAAACTAAAGAAAAGAAATCGATAAAACCACTGAAGAAAATCAGCTGCCCTTATCTTGCCTGTCTCTAATAATGAATGTGTCTTCTCAGCTCATTCTTCACCGTGGTTCTCCAATTTTCCAGGGAATAGCAAAGAATTGGGAGGGTTGGGTTGGTTTTGGCCTAACTTGGTTACTCATGGCTGGGTAAAACAGCTCCCTTTCAGGAAGTCCCAGGGGACTTTTTGTATTGACAATAAGCACGGTGCAGAACTTTAACATATTTTACTTTGGATCTGGGACCAAACTCATTGTAAAACCAAGTAAGTTATAATCGTCTACAAGAAAATTTGCCAGCACATTACACTAAATTCCTCTTATCAGCCCACATTTGTTCTAAGTTCTTCTAGTTTATGTTTTGGGTCTTTGCCTCATAATGATCCTTGCTCCTATGACTCTTGAACAGAGATAAAATACAATAAACAAATCCTGTGATGCCATAAAGATTCTGAAACTGCCAGTCATGCTCTCAAGATACTATCTATAAAAAGAAAATTTCCAAATTTTAACTATTGCTACCTTTACTACTTAACAAAGAGTATTTTGCTATAATTTAAAGTGCCTATATATGTCCAGGATTTCAGAAAGGAGCTATGTCAAATGAAAATCATTGTAATTTAATTTTTTACAAGTCAGGGGTTTTTTTCCATTTATTTGAAAGGCAGAGTAACAGAGAGAGAAACAGAGACAGAAAGATTTACCATCTGCTGTTAAACTCCTCATATGCCCACAATAGCCAGGGGCTGGGTCAGGCCAAAGCAAAGTGCATACAACTCCAGGTTTCTCCCCTGTGGGTGGTGGGGACCCAGGTACTTGAACCATCACCTGCTGCCTTCTAGGTTCCATGTTAGCAGGAAGCTGGATTGGAAGGGGAAGAGCCAGGACTCCACCTGGGTACTCTGATAGGCGTGTAGGCATCCCAGGTGGCATCTTAACAGCTGTGTCTGCTGCCCACCTCCCAAACCCCACCACTCCCCTGGCTCATCTTCTAAACAGGCTCTTGACAAAGTTTTTGTAGGAAGCTCTAGCACTGTGGTTCTAATAACTACAAGCTCAGCTTCGGAGCAGGCACCACAGTAACTGTAAGACCAAGTAAGTAAGAACAGAAAGTGCAGAATAATTGGAAGCAAAATAGTAGGCTCACTTATGAGCAGTTTCACCTGGGATAAGCAATGATCAGTAACTGAATGCTAAAAAGTTTTCCAATTTGCATTAGAACTGTAACCTTGCTCCCTCACTTGTTTCCCTCGCCTCCTCTTCCAATCCTAGATGGCTTTCCTCCTCAGGTATACCTTCACAGAGAGTCATTTGCTGAGGGCTCGGTATTCCAGGCCAGATGAAAACTGAAATTATTGGGGCGGGCATTTGGCACAGCAGTTAATATGCCCACATCCCATATCAGAGAATGTGGGTTTGACGCCCACCTCAGGCTTCCTGCTAATGCAGACCCTAGGAAGGAGTAATGATGGCTCAAATAACTGGGTTTCTGCCACTCACTTGGGAGACCTAGATTGAGTTCCCAGCCCCAGGAGGAGGAGGGTGTACTTAAGGAGTGAGCCAGTAGATGGAATCTCTCTCTCCCTTTCTCCCTCTCTCTCTCTCTCCCACCCTCTCTCCTCTCTCTTCCCTTCCCTGTCTCTCCCCCTCTAATAAATAAATGACATGATTTTAAAAACTGAGCTATCTCAAATTATCTCAGGTCTCTTTTTAAAAGTGAGAGAGGATATCACTGGGCCATATTAAGACAGATAACTCTTTTCAAATATTTGAAGAACTGCTATGTAGATG